GTCTGTAGTTTTGAGATAACAATTTTGACAAAAAATAAATTAATGAGATTAGTTTGCTTTTTAGGTAGATTAATAGCATTGAATGTTTCCTATATAAATAAGCCACTGTTACGCTCAAAGGACCGTTTAAAAAATTCACAGAAATGTAGCTTCAAATGTCTTAAAATAGAAAGTAAGAATAATTCAGCGACTTTATATGCATACAGCTGACTTTTAAGTTATGCAACTAGAAGATTACGACTGAGTTAAGATCTTAAACTATAATGGGGTTATTATGACTCAGTTAAAAAGATGGCAGTTAAAATTTTAACTGGCAAGTTTTTGCTACTTTATGTAACACTCTTTTTTAGATTCTATTTTAGATTGAACGTACCTATAAATAATAATTTAAGTACATAATTATGGTTGCATTCGCTTACTTGTATTAGAATCATTATTTAACTATATTATTATTATTTATTTTAAATATGGCTTACGATACGGCTATTATGAATCAATTGTATTAATTTGGAAAAGAAAATTAAACCTTTGCTTTGTTACTTCAATTCATAAACAAAGACAAAAGTAGATCTCTCTCTAGGATTTATTTTTCTTGTTTTATTTAAATTTTCTATAGCTATAAAAACTTTTTTTGTGCCAAATTGAAGCAATTATATAAGATTTCGCACACAAAATTCAATGCTAAAAATCTGAGTAATTTTAAAAAGCGTGAATTTAAACCACCGACATTCTTTAGTGATGACTGTTGTTATCCGTTAAGAAATCGTGTGATTTGATTAATTCTATTGCATGCTACCTGTACGTTATGTTTGTTAAAAACAAATAATATTATGTTTTATTCATTTCATAGTAAGAGAGTACAAAAACGAAGATCAATCAATACCACTTACATATAATTTTACTACATATATAAAAAAATGTATAAGAAATGTTAATCTATACATATAATAAAATTGTAACTAATCCGAATCTGTACATTAAATATCTTTTGGAAAATCTTATTGAAATAAACATTATTATCGATACAGAGGCCGAATCTATAGTTTTTAGAATTTTTGTCTGACTGTCTGTCTGTTACCGCATCACAGAAAAACCACTGGAGGGATTTTGATGAAATTTGGTATGGTGTTAGCTGGTTATCCGGGTCAACATATAGGATACTTTTTACCGCGGAAAAAAGTCTCATTTCTGAGAAAAAAACATAAAAACTGCAATGTAAGAGTATACTAATATGTAAAACTTAAGAATTTGATTTTTGGTCATGTGGACGTGGGCGGAGCCGAGGGCAATGCTAGTATATAATCGTGAAACATAAAAGACACTAAGTAAAATTCACTGAAAACTTTTATATCTGTAGCGACTGCAATAAAACTCCTTAATATTATTTACGGTCTACAAAAAGTATTTTATACGACAAATAAAAACGTACGACAAGGCTCTACACGCGACTACATATGGCTACATCGCACAGAAAAACAAACTGCCCGTTTTTTTTTTCAAGTACAATATTAATAAGCAACTCTAAATATTTTGTTAATACACATATATAATGCTTCCGTAAAACTATTTCGTTATAATTGGTGTACATCCGTAACTATTAAGGCTATACATATGTACTTGACATTCATTGCCATGGAGGCTAGCCGCTAGGCGAATGGTAATGTTACACCAATGTGGCACAAGCCCGCGTAATATTACACCGAAACCGTGACGCGTGACTCATCTCTGGTGCGGACAGGTGGAACTAGTTTGACCAAGTTTTGATACTGTCAACGCTATGATGTAATTCCTATTTAGCATTTTATATGTATGCAATACGACTCACCGAAATTGGATTTCTTTATTAGATAATAAACCTGTATAGATAGTTAAAAACATGACAGATTTTTACTTATTAATTGTATCGAAATGTATCTTGAACCTTCTTTAAAGTTCAGTCTTTTAGTTATTATACCTACACATCAAACTCTTAATCCCTCCACGACCGCGGACACGCCGGCGTTACAGTTAACAATAGATTTCTTAGAAATTTAATTAATTTCTTAGAAAACTTCTTCTTTCTTACAAGAATATAAAACATTATATTAAAATACATTTTCTTATATGAATAAAACTCAAATTGAGCAAAGTTTTACTTTATTTTAACTTCTATGCATAAAATGCCATTATAACCTTTCCTACAGACTACAGCACCAATGAACCCTTTAATAGGGCAAGCAATTAACCCAATATTCATGTCTACACTGTATGCCCGTATGTATTTAAATTCATATTTTAAACATTACGTCGCGTCGCCTCAGTTCTTATTTGTTCAAACTCCCAATATTTGTTGTACTTTAAAGTAGAGTTTTTTCTCTATTTTAAAAACAAAGCTTTATATCTAAGATTTATATAGCTACATATATAAATAACATACATTTTTAGTTTTTTTTTGCATTCAAAATATGTATTTTATAATAACAAAAGAATCGACATTTAAAAGTTTTTTATATAAGCACTGAGACGACGAATAGTAAAAGTATGATTTTATAACAGACTAGCATTGCCCGCTGCTCCGCCCACGTTCAGATGACGAAAAACCAAATTCTTAGGTTTTACATAGGTATTAGTGTACTCTTACATTGCAGTTTTTGTATTTTTTCTCAGAAATGAGACATTTTCCCGCGGTAAAAAGTATCCTATATGTTGACTCGGATAACCAGCTATCACCATACCAAATTTCATCAAAGTCCCTCCAGTGGTTTTTCTGTGATGCGATAACAGACAGAAAGACAAAAATTCTAAAAACTATAGATTCGGCCTCTGTATCGTTAATAATGTTTATTTCAATAAGATTTTCCAAAAAATATTTAATATACAGATTCGTCTTAGTTACAATTTTATTATATGTATGGATTTCAAATATAGATAGACATATATACAGATAAATTTAGAATTAAACCAAATAAAACAGAAAATTTCTGTTAAAAATTTGTGGCCGTAATATGGGCGACCGAATATTTCGTTAGAAAGCAAGTATGTATCGGTAGACAAAACCTACGCTTACTATCGAATATTATTACAAGTGAGTACACACATATTTATAAAAATGTAAGTTAATTATTTCGCAAACAATTAAAATAAAGATTCTTGAATTACATTACCTCGCCCGCTATTACTGATTCAACACAAAGTGTGGCGTGATCTTTAACAAAATACGTACATATGGAGTATATAAAATATAAATTAAATAACGTAAGATAGTTTTATGGAAAGATAGAAATATGCTGCACTTTTAGATTATAGTCGAAAAACAAAAACAAATTATCTCACAGGAACCGTACATTTTTCCAGGATAAAATGTAGTCTATGTGCTATTCCAGACTATAATGTATCTCTGTGCCAAACTTTATCCAGATCCGTTTAGCCGTTTTGGTGTGATTAACAAACAAACATCCATCCAAACATCTAAACTTTCACATTTTTAATATTAGTAAGACTTTATTGTACTGTTAGATGGCAATGCTAGTAACTAATAAGAAACGATCTCTTAATTAGTGTGTTTAGGTTTAAGCGCCTGTTATCCAACACTGAGCTGATATTAATAAAATAGCAGCAAGAACATTCCTTTACGAGATTTTAACGAACTAAACCAGGTCTCTGTTAATTGTACAATTTCTGAACAGTCTATTAGATCGAAAAAAATAATAATCTATACAGATAAATAAAATTAAAGTGTCTGTTTGTAATGTCGAAATAAGTTTTTTACTAAATGCATATGCAATTATAATTAATATACAGTATTTATAAGAAAATCACAATGTTTAAAACTTTTGTCTGTCTGTCTGTTTGCTAATCTCCGAAACGGCTGTACTGATTTTGACGGGACTTTCACTAGCAAATAGTTGATGTTATAAGGGGTAACTTAGGCTACTTTTATTTCTTTTAAACATTAGGGTACCGTTAAAAAAAATTAAAACGTATCGAGCGAAGCGAGGGTAAGTCGATAGTATTAATTATATATCAAACATCAGGTTAACCTGGGAAAGATTTAAACACGTAATCATTATCGATACTATAAATCTTAACGTAAATTACTAATACATCGAATAATTGTGCTTTAAATCAAAAGCTACACTACTTGTTAAAAAACAACGTTGCATCGCGTCTAGAACATAATCTGTGTACTTCGCATTTCTATAGAGGCTTGATATAGCAATTAGCGAGTCGAGTATTCGAGCCGCGGCGTTTGCGGTCAAGCACCGGTAGGGGTAGGGAATACGAATTATACGATTACCTATTGGAATTATACCAGAATTTAAACCATACTTTGGTTCATTGATTAAAATGAAACTTCGTACATACCTCAAAAATTCATATTAACATTTAATTATTTTCAACGAACTGTGCGGTGGTTTTTATCAAAACTTTCATGTTTCGGTAGACGGAGTTATATAGCATACAATTGAGCGAATGCAATTCACCAAAACGAATAACATTTGTGAAATGTGTATCTTTCATAATATTTCTTTTGCTTTTTACAAATATGAGGAAATGCTTTGAAATTATAAAAAAATTAAAATGACAAAAAAGTTTCTTCCATGTTATAACTTTCTGTTATTAACAAAAAACACCCAATTCATACCTCCCGGTTTTGTAAGTAGGATGAATTTAAATAAATATTTTAAACCGATTATTGTACTTATTTACATGTTTAATGGCTTTAAATATAAAGATTCAAAAAAATTTTAAGAATTTCAGCAAAATTAGCAATCTGGTTCTTGGTTATAAGTTTGGTTATATTTACATTATATCTTTTACCACCTATTTTTGTACAATGGGGATATTAAAAAAAATTATATAGATATATAATCATATTAATCATATTATTCAGTTAGTCTAGTAAAGGCAACATCTATCAGAACTTTAGTAAATAGAGCTTGACATACAAATTCACTTACTCATAACAAGTTAATTTACATATCATATAAGTAATAGATTTAAAAGTGTGAATCACTTACTTGTTATATCATAAACAACAACAGCAACAGTTGAGTCCCTGATGTAAGAAGGAATGAGAGAGCGGAATCGCTCCTGCCCAGCCGTGTCCCACAGCTGTAGTCTCACTGTACGGTCTTCTAAGTACATAGTCTTCGAAAGGAAGTCGATACCAATTGTCGCCTGAATTTTATATTAATTTAAAGAAGTATAGAAAATGAAGTGCAAACTATTAGTTAATATTACAAAAAACATTGATGCTTTTTTTTAATTTGTCAATGACTTTTATTATTTTTGTTTATGTTTCACTAAATTTAAATATATAATTTGTAGGAATTTATCTAAAATTTATAAGACTAATTAGCTTTTTTACTTAAATAATATTTTAAAGCATAAAAAAATTATATTTAATCATAGCTTTATTTACATACATGTGTTTTAGTATTTTGTCTTTTAGATTTACTAATGTAATTTTATTTATCTATTCCTTAGAATATACTTTATTGTACTCCATAAATAACAAAGGAGGAAGTTTTATTGCTATAAGTGTTTTGTCTAGATGTTCTGTTATCTACATAACTACTAATTACCATATCATTCATAACTTAATTTATTAAGTATTTACAAAATACACAGTTATAGTATGAAGCGGTTCATTTTATAGTGAAATGTTGTAAAAAATTAACATTAAGTTATATATAATATTTGTACCATTAATATTAAACTCAGAAATTTAATTAAATTTAATTAATTTAAAATCTATTTAGTATATGAGTATATCTCTATCAGTATTTTTATTTTCAAATAAACTACAATTTAATTTGTAAAATTGTTAAAAGATATATACAAAATTTTTAAAATACATTTAATTATAATGAACTATGCATTATTCATATGTGTTATTATATTTACTGTATGTATTATATTATAAAATATCCAAAGTAACAAAACCTTTAAGATAAATTTAGTGTTATCTCATGAATCATAATTGTTTTACTGCTTTTAATTATATGATTACTATAAATTTACTTACCTGGTAAGTGTTGTCAAAGCTATCATACATGAATCTAGTGATGAGCGACGTTTTTCCCACTGAAAAACATAAGTAGCAGGTCAATGCACCTTCTAATTATGTCGTGCCTATTCAACTCAATTATATATTGGTAACGGGAACATAGAGATCAGAGAATAGCGTGTGAAGTTACAGAAAGAAAGTCAAAAAGTGATACTAATAATCTTTCGAGTAACCTACATCCATTATTACTGCGTAATGCATAGAACCGATACTTTTTCGATCGATCATAGCTAATAAAAAGACCTAGTTCGGTCTTATGAGATCAATGTAGGTCAGTTATTTATTAAATTTAGATAAATCTATATACGTGTCGGAAATTTTAAAACCAAGTATTAAAAATGTAAGAGTGCTAGGCTAATTTGCCTTCCACTTACCACTCTGTTCTCCAAGAAACACGAGTTTAAACTTGCGTAGAGGATTACCAAATTCCCCCGACGTAGACATATTGAGTGTTATAATTAATTAATTCGCTAAACTATAATTTCACAGTAATTCTTATCACAGAAAACTACATGAACAATGACAGTTCGGGCCACTCCTGCGGCACACACGAGCGCAGCGCCGCCACGTTACGGCAGACTGACGGCGCTACGCAAAAGCCAACTCAGCAAAATGACATCATGCCGGAGATGATTTATATTTTTCAGATATTAAATAATGTTTTAATTATATTTATTTATAGAGACGAAAATGGAAACATATTCATACTTATTTTGTTAATATTTAACAATTGATGCATTGTTTCTGAACGACACAAGCTGTCTCATTCCGAATCAACGATTCGATTAATAAATAGGTAATTCAAAATCGATATTAAAACGACAAAATTTCATCGATATAATCTATTTATTTATTTTTCATTGTGATAGGTACAATAACAAAAGTAAAATAACAAGAGAAAGACGTATATCTATAAATGAAATTTATTTCATAACTTCAAATACATAATATTATACTTTAGGGCCGATGTACATTGCGTTTTAAAAGAGCCGACACAGACGTACGCATCGACTATATCAAAGTCTTCGTGTGCATACTGCATAAGTCCTCATTATATATGAATCTTTTCACATATCAACATCATATCACACATCAAAATTCACTTGATCACTACGCAGCAAGCTTTATCAATAAATATTCAATTTAACTGAGATTTAAATAAAAATATCAAATAATTTAACTATATTCTTTATTTTTAATAAAATAATATATGTATTTACAAAATAATTTAAAATTATCACAAAAATATAATACCACTACAAAATTATGGTAATGTATGGTAGTAGTAATAACATTCATTTATGTTTAAAAATAAAAGAAATAGTAGTAAAAAAAGATATATTAACTTTTACATGTTTAACTATGTTTTAGCATCTAACCCATGCAATAACTCTTTACTCAAAGTAAAATAAAAAATATTAAATTACTTAACATAATAAAGAACATTACACCAATTTGACATTTTATTTTATATTTTGTACACTCCTTTTTCAATATGTGGCTGTGTCAATGGCACAGTGAGCTACCAATTCTTGTATAATAATAAAAGTAGCGTAATACTAATAAATGTTATTATTGCATAACATCAAGATTATTAATAACATTTCTTTGGTTATTCTTAATTCAGAAGTTACTGAAACTTTCAAAGTATCCTCATTGATTACTTTCAAACCAAAGTATTTTCTTTAGTAGGAAACATCTTGCACATTCCACAAAAAGATGCAAAAAACAAACCATATTATTCTTCATATAACATTATCAAGTCTTCATATGGTTTCATAATATAAGAATATTTATAATACATACTATTTAAATAATTTAAAAATCTGTGATTCAGATATAAATAATGATTCACCAGTTAGTTAATTACTTATTATGGGATTCCATCAAATAATGTATATAATTTATAAAATAAAGTCCATTCTTTTATATAATTTCACATAACATCTTATTATGGAATGTGTACAATAATTGTATGGCTATATGTATAGATTTAAGGAGCATGTCTTCTTGGTGGAAACATATTTTCTTCTACTACTATTACACCACATAAAAGATCATATCCAGTACGATTATGACGAAAAACAAATAGCACCACACATAATGGAAATAAAAGAGAAATGAGGAAATTCTTCATTAATGACCTGACTAATGCAAGAATAAAAGTTGGAGGTTTTCCGGGATATAGCAAAACTGTTTCTTTGGGCCTACCCTCAACTGGTAGTACAGCAGATGCTGTGACAACTCTAAGGCCAAGTAATGCTTTACCAGGAGTGGCTCCTCCAGTTCGACCAACACTTCCACTGAGACAAAATGCCTGAAAAATAATGTATTATGGATTATTTCTTGGTCTACCAATATATCTGTTACATTAAAGAGTATTGTTTTAGACATTACATTTTGCAGCTTAATTTAAATTATATAAAGTATTAGCATTCAGCAATGTTGGACAGTAGCCTGTGTGTTATTGACAGTCATGTTACATCTGTGTGCTACATTTGGCCCAATTCTGTCTACAAGTTTCAGTATGGTATGGTAATGGGTGTGGGGTAGTCCAGCTTGAAAATCTTACATCAACTTATATGTGTATTATTAAAGAGATAATAATATAAAATTTTTCTTTCACTTTGTTTGAAGTGTCTTTGGGGTTGGTGTCCAAAACAAATCTCACTTTATCTTACTAAGGGGGAAGATGTCTACATTGAAAGAAAAACAGCTCATATAATTTAATGAATTGGATAGATGTCCCCTTACAAACATATACACACAAAAAATATTTATAATAATAGTCTGATGTATATGAAAATGATAGCTGATAGTAAATCAACATCAAAAATAAGTGAAGAAATAAAATAGAATATATATGCATTACAGAAAAAATAAAGTTAGTAACTATACATTTTGTTAGTTACAATAAAATGAAAAAATATCATACCTCGAATATGCATACAAGTGTCCTGTATATTATTTCCAGCAAAAGAATTTCTGATGTAAGTTCCATAGCATATTTGTAATCATTATAGTTTTCACTAAATTTATAGATATCAAATTTTTCTAGATCACTGAAAGAGATATAGATATATGTTTAAATAATATATATATATTTTATATAATATTGCTGGTCTTACTTGAAATACTTACATTAACTCGAACATATCCACCGCAACAAAAGTGACAACAAGTTTAAGAATGAATAAAAGCATAAAGTCAATAAACTCTGCAATCAATCTCTTATACAATGGTGGTATAATATATTCAAATCCTCCATGTCTTGCTATCACTGAAATATTGAATGCAATATATTATTACATTTGTCGACTACACCAGTACATAATAAAAACATCACGATAAAATATAGTCTTAAGAAATGAATTCTTCAAAATTACACTTATATAACTTAATATACCCTCAGCTGGTGTCTGAGGATCAGCTGCTGGTTGATTTTCTGCTGGAGGTCGAGGTGGAATTGGTACTTGAAAAGGAAATTGTTGTCCTTGAAACTGGTAATTATTATTTAGCAAAGGAACATTTGTTGGATTATTTTGAAATCCTTGTAAGCTCATCATATAATAAGGAAAACATGTTGAAAGGTTTTGGTATAACTGCGCCTGTTGTATCCATAATCGAAGGGCTTGAAAATAGGCTTCACGTTCAGAAGTGCTAGGTCGATCACCTTCAGCACTTTCTGGCGTTTCTCTCGACGGACCGGCACCCTCCACAAGTCTTTCAGTATCTGACATTGTCTATTTTGCTTTTATACTACATGAAAATAAAAAAATTAAATTAGTAAAATATTAGAGTATTGTACACGTCAGTTTTGTTATTTTTATTGAAATTCAGATAGATGGCTATAAAATTGTCAATGTCATTTTGACAATTTATAAAAATATATATTGATGATATCCAGATCAAAACAAATAATAATAGTGCTTATCACTTTTTTATAATTAAACTGGTAAAAATAGTACTTTTTGATTTCTTAGGGTTTTATATTACTTAAGATTTTATAATATTCGAAAAAATAAAATAATTATAAATGAAAAGAGATACATGGCAATAATATTTTTATGTCAAATGGCGCTTGTCATCCATCTACAGAATGCGTGCGCAATATTCTCTGATTTTGTGGAGTGCGGTGTGGACATTGGTGTAAAAGCCATGGGATTGTTCATTTAAGTAGTATTGTGTGTTTCGAAGTTATTGTTTGTTTCTTTTATTCTGTAGCCATCTATCCATACAATAAGAAAATTTTCTTGTGTGCTTACTTTTTATAAAAAGTTCAAAGTATATGAGAAACAGTTGTGGCCGGATCAATCGGTAATTTACTGTATTTTTCGCTCAGTGCAATGTCAGTGATGTGCCCGATGGGTGACTGTTAATATAAAATAGAGAAACATTTTTTTAGTTTCGCTGGCTAATCGTAAGTATCTTATACATTTTATTTTATACTCTCCTAGCAGTAGAACTTTTTAATAGAAATTTTAATATTTTCAGTAAGTATCGGAAAATAATTCTTCTCTTGTTTAAAGTTTTGCGCCTGTAAACACCTTATTGCCAAAGTATCTATATTTACAATTATAGTATCGAAAATGTTCTTTATATGCCCTTTACATAAATACATGTGTACAATCTTGGTAGCCTTGGCAGTACTCTTTGCTCGCGTACATATATGGGTCACTGTACCCACTGTTAGCTGATTTAGTACTTATCTTTACTTTTATTTACCTAAGATAAATATTATAATTCCATATACTTTATTTGTCAAGATACTTCATTAATTATAAAATAGTGGTCATATGTGTCACATTGCCAGATAGGTGTTGTTTATACATAAAAATATATTATTTTGATAAAATTATTATTTTTTGTGTAATACCTACAAATAGACATTAATCATTATTAATAGATAATTATAAATGGTATCAGATTTTATTAAAATAAATGTACAATTATTTTATACAGAGATATGAGTTTTCCCTCTGTTACTTTATCATTATGTAAAGATAGGTAATGTTTATTATCACTTTATAAAGTAGAATACTGATAAGAAACTGGTGTACATACTAGTAAAAATTACCAACCCATTTAATATAATATTACATTACATACTAGTCAAAAAGTGTTATAAGAAAAATATATTTAATAATTTTTCTTACAATGCTTTTTGATAAAAGTTAATAATAACAAAGTAAATATATTTAGTATCAAAAAATAATTTAACAGTAAATTACATAAATAATATTCTAATAAAAGTAGGGTAATTTTAATTTAATAAATGAATTATATTTTAATACTCTAAACAACCCAGCCCAGCAGTGGGACTTTAAAAAAAGGGCTGAATACATATATACATACATACTCTAAACAAATTTACTCAGAGTTGCAGTATTTCGTTACAGTATTTTTTTCCAACAATCGTATAAAATATTCCTATGTAGGATTACATAGGAATATTTTATTGGAATGATAATTTTTAAATGTGTCCAATAACAAAAGTCATAACATAATATATGGAATACAAAGTCTGCATTTCAAATGATATATTATATTAAAGGATAATTTTATGTCAATATAATAGAGACCCTACAAAGTATGGTTCAAAGTGCTGGCGCCGATGTCCTAATTAATATTTACTGCGTATGCGGCGAGCCTCGGCTGCATTACGCGCCTCTTACTCATGGTCCGCTCGTGACGTGAATGATGACTTACGATCTGCCTCTGTCTTGTATAATCTTTGCAGATTTGAACTTTAAAATGTATAAAAAAGCTTAGGTTTATATTGTATTCAGCCATTTTTAACATCCTACTTCAATGCGAAGGGGATCAGGCCATAGTCCACCATGCTGGTCAAATGCGGGTTGGCGGACTTCACATGTCTTTCGAAAACTTACTAGGTTCTTTCAGACATGCAGGTTTCCTCACAATGCTTTCCTTCACCGTAAGACAAGTGGTAATCATGTTGAATATGATTCGCACATGAAAATTATCAGAGGTGCGAGACCCGGGATGTGAATCCGCTTCACTCGGTTTTCCATGCGAGCGTGCTACCACGGGGCTACCACTGCCTTTTAGTTTATATATATGTAAAACCAATTATATCTCCTTTATTTTCAATAATTATAAATAAATGATTAATTTGCAAAAATTCCGACCCATCATTTTTATTAAATTAACCAAACTTAGTCCAAACAAAAAGTCTCGTTAAATTAAACAAAAAAGCCTCTTATAGTAAATTAGACAGCCTCATCTTCATTTTACTTTCATTTTTACTAAATGAATTTTATAATATTTTTATCGCGACACGAGTTTACCGATGCCGATTCGATTTTACCGATCGTCAACATTGTTGTATTGCAATATATGGAAATCGCATCAGTCAATAAAGTATAATGCTGTTTAAGCTCTATTAAAATGTTTTATATTGTTTTCAGTTCAATATTACTCAAATCGTCAAATTTAATAATATAAATAGCTGTTAAATAGTTGTGGTAGTCATGGTGGTGCTTCGGTCCTTTTTCATGATACTCATCGTGGTACCAACAATTGTCAGGTGTACCTAATACTTGTTTAAAATTAACAAATATTATAAGGTACTTCGGTGCCGTTTTTGTATTTTTTTAAATCATTGTATAGATTTGTGGGTAGGTACCTACTGTCTGTAACAACTATATTACCTTTGAGACGTCTAAAACCTTAGTCTCTTCCGTAACCATGATTGATGTAAAGTATTCGAAACGTCGGGAATCAAAACTCAACATGAACCCGCGGAAAAGATGCGAAAATATAGTTTTATTTAAGGTGTCACCTACTTGATCTAAATTTATACGAACTAGACGTTTTATTAAAAAAACCATTTGGTCGTAAATAACAAATGTCTAAAATATAATAAGAATAGTTTTAATTTTCCTGTACAAATTTCAACAACACTTTGCTCTTTAAACTAGTTTTGTTATAGGTGCGATATATTATATACTTCTATACTAATATTATAAAGAAGTATAGTTTTTCAGATTGTAAGTTTGTGACGTTGCATTGTAGGGGGCGATTTAGATGAAATTTGGTAAGAAGATAGCTTGAGACCCCTAAGAAAAAGTACTTTTTATCCCGGAAATCATACCTTAAGGGGGTAAAAATGGGGATGAAAGTTTGTATTGGGAAACAAGCTATGCTGAGTCGCTAGTTTGGCATAAAATTAAAGTTCAGTTTCAAATGTGAGCGCAGCGAGGGCGGGTCGTTAGTCATGCATAAAATTACTCTCTAAGGTATAACTGGCCGTTCGCATTTGTAATACGAAATATTACTTCTCGGAAGATAGCCATCGAAAACCGTTGAGTCACAGCCAGCACAAGAAGGCTGGTTATCTGATTAGTGACTCAATGGAGATAGAATTGAATAATAATTTATTATGATTTCATCTTTGGTGGTATATCTATATATATCATGTCTCTGTTATTTGTTACGTTTTATATTCGAAACTTATTTTTTTTTTCTTAAACGTTATAATTTTCCCGTATGTTATTTCTAAAAAATTATAAACTAAATACTTAGTTATTTCTTTACTTCCTTATTTTAGTTTTTTTTGTTTTAAAAGATCATTTATTTACTCACTCAAGAACGTAGCTCACTTATAATGAGATTAAAGTTACATTTTGATATAATGTTTAAAATTCCTAAATTGTGGTGACCGAGAAATATAATTAAATGATTAAAAAAAATACAAACAGACGAACATAGAACCTCCTCCTTTTTGGAACTCGGTTAAAAAGTTTACAATGTGTTATAGATGTAAAAACGTGATTTTCGCTTTAATCGCTCGCTAAACAACAATATTACCTATCTTACCATGATGTGCTTTAAACACGGAACCCACTATTGATATCGTGCAGTTACTGTATTATAACACACAGACCACAGTAAATGAACTATGCAGCACTTATTGTGTCTTGAAAACTTACCAGCATTAAAGATGATCGTAAGAATAAAGATGTGAACTTAAATTAAGATAAGGTTCTCATATTCGAAAAGGAAAAGGAAGAGATTAGTAAGAGTAAAGTTTAGGTGATTGGCAATGTTTTGGAACAAACGAATGAAGATAATTTATAGGGAAGTAGGTATTATTACCAAGAATGGAAAATCTGGAGCGGAAGCTGTAAGATGACCTGCGTTCTGACCGCCCTTCGACCTCTGTTACGGAAGAAAACATCAGAAATATTGAGAATCTGGTTTTGGAAGACAGAAGAATAACCATAAAATATTTAGCTGAGATCCTAAAGATATCATATGGTAGCATTCAAACCATTTTAATTGATTCATTGGAGTTCAGAGAAGTGTCGGCAAGATGGGTGCCACGTATGTTAACCTACGAAAACAAAAATCGACCTTTGGAAATTTCTAAGCGTAATTTCGAAATGTTCCAGCTAGATTCGGATAAATTTTGTTATCGTCTTGTCACCATAGATGAAACGTGGAACCACCGTTTTGATCTTGAGACTAAGTGACAAAGCATGTCTTGAAACGATCATACTTTCCATCCATAAAGAAATTTCAAGTTGCTCATACCGCTGCAAAGTTATGGCCTTAGTGTTCTGGGGAAGTGAAGGAATCCTTTTTATTGGTAACATTCCAAAAGGCCAAACAATTAGGTACTGGACCCCATTATGCAAATCTAATTCCGAAAGTGCGTGAAGCATTTAAAGAAAAACGTCGTGAAAAACTGTCGTTAGGCGTGTTGTTTCTTCAT